GTGTGTAAAGAACAGGACGAGAGACGCGTGAGTCACTGTCAGTCATGCATAGACTGTATGGTGTCATGCCTTACCTAAATCCACCCCAGAGCATGCGGAAGGGGATCACAGTCACAAAGAAGCGCCAAAGCTGTCAAAGCAAACAGGTAGGCCTAGTAAATAGGCTTATCGTGCCTCAGACCGTATGCAGTGTCAGGCATCAGAACCCAAAGTGCAAAGAAAGAAATCATTAAATGAAAGCACCATCTCTTACTGTAACCGCTGCGTCAGATGTTTCCAAATCCTCAGAAATGTGCTGTTGGTATTTTCGTTAACGTTACAGTCAGGAGTCAAGACGACCAATGTAGTCAAACTAGTGCTAGCTACATCGCGCGACTTGTAGGCTAATTAAGAGATATTTCAGCGATATTAACATTGGTTTTAAATCAAATCACCTTGATGTCAATTTCTCAAATACCTTGTGGAGTGAACAAGAAATTAAAATAAACTCTACTAGGAGTTTCCATATTTATTGTGAGAAAACATAGATTCACGTTATGAACAAAAAGGTCTTTGCAATCTTTAATCTAAATGTATTTGGTCTTTCTCTTTGTAAAGTAAATGTAGGCCAAACTCTCTTCTGAAGCGACTTTCTTTGTGCCGACATCACGTATTGCAAACAAGCTGCAAATGTGATTTTGTGTTTACTTGAATGTTTTTATATTTTATTAGAAAACAAGACAAAAAGCATTATGTGAGTTGCTTTTTTCCCCAGCAAACTCCAAAATCAATTTTTGTCTGCAGTATAGAGCCGGGCAGTGTGGGAGTTTTGTGCGATATTGATGTGTTGGATGGATTGAACTTTCATGTTAAGCCTCTGAAGTGCACTTGGGAGATGCTGCCTGTTCCAATTCCCTGCCTTGTGTTCTTGGTTTCCGTTGTGTATCTAATCCCCTAACATGGATTATACTGGAGTATTTGTGTAAGAGACACAATTTAGATTTTATATAGGCTTACAAGACATTTCTTGCAGACAAATTTACCACTTCTCTTGACAAGGACTCTCTGCCTCAGTGGTGGCACTTGAGGGCTTGTGAACTTGATCAAAGGTTATACCTACTGAGTTTTGTTTGTTTTTAGATGTGGTTCACATCAGTATGATATTGTAAGAAAAAACGGAGTTGATCAGTAATCGTTTCATGAAGAAATCATTAAATGAAAATGCCATCACTTAGTAGTTTAACCTGACAAGATGAAGTATTAAGGATTTAATATGAGAGGAAGGGTTGGAAACATGGCCTAGTTCAGCATCGACTTTAATGTTCTTCCAATACAACGTTCAAGTCTTGTTTTTCTTTGGCAGATATTGAACTTAATTGAACTTGAATTATATTAAGTGTTTGTCTGGCTATTGGCAGTGGCTAATGGCAGATCACCCCTCTCTGTCATGATCCTGCCAGGATACTGGAGACAGGATGGCAGCAGATGAAGGACATGCCTCTGTTAATGCCAATTTCTGGCATTCAAATACACCACATTGTATAAATGAAAAGGTTGAGCATACCCATTCTATTTTGTTTGATAAGTGAGCTTTCCTCACATTTCCTCACTTGATTTATGTGCACACATGACACCTTTGCAGTTTGCAACATGCCCATGTATTTCATAACCCTTTGGAGCAGGGATCATTTTATTGTTTTATGTGAGGAATCATGTGTTACATGAATGGCAAAGGCTGAAGAGATTTTGAATCAAGGGAATTAAAGTTCACCCAAAACTGAAAGCTCTATCATATAAAAGTTATTTTGAAGAATGTGAGTAACCAAACAATTGCTGGTCCTTATTGACTTCCATGTGTTCAGCAGAAGAAAGAAATTCATACCGATTTGGAACAACTTGAGGGTGACTAATGATGACAGAATTTACATTTTTTGGTGAATTATCCTTTTAATGCAGGCACAAAAGTTTTAAGTTTCAGCAGGGGTGTTGATTTGATTTGAACACTGGCGATGCTGAAGAGTAAGCTTCCTTATGTGATTGATTGATTGATTGATTGATTGATTTACAAAATGGTCTTTTGTGGTAGTCCACACATGTAAAGTTGGTTGATAGCACAACAGCAACTAATAGTTAACAATTAGCCTACTTGTTTTGAATAGAATATATGAGGTATTTACCTACTAAGGATCTGTACCCTATTCGTTTAACATAATTTTCTACTTTAAAATGTCATAAACTAACTTAACATTTTCTTATACTGTTGTTAATGTTTGTTTGTTTGTTTATTTAACAAAAATGTGTAAAATTTAGCACAGTGTGTGAACACCCCCTGACTGTAATATAACGTGATAAAATCTAGAGTGGTCGTGAGTAAGCCTTCTAATGAATGTTGTTGCAGGAGGAAATGTTCTTTTTTTTCTTCTGTCTTTTAATGTTGTATAGGCCTATTTATTAGTTTTATTTGTGTGTGTGTGTGTGTGTGTGTGGGTTGATGACATTTAAAAGTGAGAAATATATTTAAAAAAAAAAAGATTGTATTGTTTATACTCTTGGCTACTCAGAAAATTACATAATTGGGATTTTTGTCACTTTTACTAGTCCATAAAAATGTTTTATGTAATTCTTTAAAAGTCGAAAGAAATTAAGGGAAATATGATTTACTAATTTCCACTGAGTAGCATTTAAGATTAATTTGTTTTAACCAAATTTTAATCTAAAGACAATTCTTTTGAGAGACAGCATTATTTATGGGTTATTATATTGAGATTTTTATAAGCGTTTATTGCCTAATATATTTGATAAATATGCATCTAAACAGAACGAGATTTCACAAATAAGCCAAAAAGTTTTTCTGTCAATATGGGGTGCTGTGTGTACATTAATGAGGAAAAAAAATTAACTTAAATGATTTTAGCAAATGGCTGCAATATAACAAAGAGTGAAAAATTTAAGGGGGTCTGAATACTTTCCGTACCCACTGTATATTAAAGATAGTATCCAGAACTATTCAGAATGATCCAAAGATATTGTCTATGCCAAAAGAACAATAACTGAAGGCACAGTGTTTAGTGTCTTATATTTATGTCTGCTTTCTCACTTTTCCTGCAAGGTCTGTGTTAGTGCATTCCCATTCTTTCTGCATTTGACAACTTTATAGCATCTGTCACATGCTGAAATAAGAGATTGAATTAAGAATTATTACACACTGGCTAAAGAATAGTGTGAAGTATACAATTACAAGGCCTTATATTGTATGTATAAAAAGGGCTAATAAAATAAACTATTGCAATTTTGCAAATCAAATGACATTTTTCTATGTTGCAAATTCATTCTACAATGTTTTGCCATGTTTCATGTAGTTAGGTCAATACATGGTTTTCTTGAAAACAAGTGCACACAATATAAGTATTCTGAGCTCAAAATATATAGTTTAAAAGTGCACTGAAATTCAAAGCAAACATTACATAATCTGTTGTCCCCATAGTCTGTCACCCAACCGTTGCATATATATAGAGAGAGAGAGAGATACTGGATTTTACTGTCTAGAGTTTTCAATTAGTCTTCTGTAATTTTTAAAGCAAATTTTAAGAGAAATCCACATACTAAAACATAAATCTCTCTCTTTCTCTCTCTCTCTCATAGGATCACAATCACTTACTCTCAGGTGTGCACCTTTAATACTCTCTGTAATTTTTAAAGCAAATTTTAAGAGAAATCCACATACTAAAACATAAATCTCTCTCTTTCTCTCTCTCTCATAGGATCACAATCACTTACTCTCAGGTGTGCACCTTTAATACTCTGTCATCTGATTAGTAGCATATATAGGTCATCTAGAAAAATGAAGTGGTCTTTAGTGGGTTACAGTGTTAGTCTTTAGTAATTATAGTTGATTGTATATTATCAACAATAGAAGTTTACAGTATTTTCTTATTTAGATAGCGATAGCAGGGGTTCTCCAGTCTGTTGTGATAGGGTTGTGGTTAACAGGGAAAAACATTGCTAAATGCCACTAATAAACGGCAACTAACCAAATAACTGTGCGGTAGTTAGTACTTTTTATAACGGAGAAGAAAACACTTCCTATATTTGTGTTGTTGATATCAAAAACTGTGTGTCCAATCAAACTACAGTATTTTGGTGCAGACTCACCTTTCACTTTGTAATATAGCTAATGCTAATATAATATTTGGCCCAGTGTTTGCTCCATGTGTGAGGCTGGTGAATCATATTCCTGCTGTTGTTTATGCATTTAAAATGTCAAATTTTCTGTCATGTTTTGTTGTGTTAATAATTTGCATGTTATTGAGCCTATGTTGTTTGATCTGATCTGAAAATGTCTGATTTTAAGAACATTTTGTTCTAAACAGTTAGTTCCGGTCAAATCTCATTGGTTTTGCGGCGTTCTGAGAGTGCTGATATAACGGACCAGAGCAATGGGCCATTTCTGCAGGCATTTTGCCAGTAGGTGGCGACAAGTGACTGTCAAATGAGTGAGTCATTGACTCATTTACTCAACCGATTCATTTAGGAGTCGGAATAGCTTACTTACTATTTCGGTGTTATATGTCATAAATAATAAGAGTAATATTCTAGTATGCTATTTTGTGTTTGAGTCATTGAATCATTTACTCAACCGATTTGTGGTTCATTCAGGAACGCCATAGTGTGTTAACAGTTCATTCGTTTTTGAAAATGTCATCGCTAATATAGTAAAACATGATGAAAACCAACTTGAGGACATTTCAAGCAGTTCCCCCTCCCCAGGGCTCATAAATCTCAACTCATGATTAATTTTAAATCTACTAATTGGCCTGTGAGGTTTAAGTGTAGTTGTAAAGTTACAATTAGGGATTGGCAAACATCTTTATCTCCATATAAAAATATTATCTATGAGATGTCCTAATATATACCAGATACCAACTAATCGCACAGGTTTGCAGCTCGTGCTTGGAGCAACAGATGCCACGCTGTGGAATAAAGCCCTTCAGAGCGGGGGAGGGTGGAGGAGTAGTGTGGCAAACTCCACTCACAGCGAGAGCAGCTCACACTGCTTGAGTATCCACTCATGGAGATACTTTCGGTCCTCACTATTTGCGATAACTATCAGAGAAACCTGAGGCTCACGACTTTATGATTTTCACCACGTGCAAAACATGCCGTAAAACCTGCTTAGGGCTCATCTGACAAAGTTGGCTGGCTGTTCTGGGACGGAACAGATTAAAGGGGATAGTACATGGATATTTCTCAGTCTCTGGTCAATCTCGGCTGTGAGAGCATAAAATTGACCACTACTTAAGCTGTTAATCGTGGAGAAACGAAAAGAAAAGCGAGCAAGTGGGCATGCCACCCAAGAAAAAGGTAAAATGTCTTGTGTGTTAGTGCGTTTGTGTTTGTGAGGGAGTGATGATGAGGTACACATGAGAGTGCCATTTGAGGAGACTGCCATCTGTTGCTTTCAGCTGTAATCCATGTGAGCTTGAGCTGCTATGCATCATTGCTTTTATGTACCATAGACAATACGCTGTGTGTGCACCAGCACTGGGGTAAAGAGTGCTCTGCATATGCTGGATGTTTTCTATGTCAAAAGAAAAATTGTCCTGAAGTGTAACCTCCACGTGACCGGTTCAATCATTGCGATGCTGAAAGTGATGGAATTGTGCTGAGCAGTGTTATGAGCATAATCCCTTTCCAATTGTCAGGATTACAAAACTCAGCTGTTTCACAAATGATCTCTAAATATAGACCAGGTGTGGGAGTTTTGTTTTGTTTTTTCGTAGTTTATATTTTTTGGGAAAGTACCCGGAACAATTCTGACCTGTCAAAGGGGTATTAAACTAGTCCCTTCTTGCTCATATATTTGTTTTTGCCATGGTTTCCAGTAGAAATATCTAAACATCTTTAAATAATGTTTTAAAATTCTAATTTTATAAAATAAAAATAATTGTTTTCATACCCCAATTGGAATTTTCAGAGTTCATCTTAAATGAAAGTTTCTTTTTCCTACCGTAGTTGGCATTTTCAAAGTTCGTTAAACTAAATTTATTTTTCAAACCACAATTGGCAAAACAACAACAACAACAAAAAACAATCAAACAAAAGGGGGGCATGAGAACAATAAACTTAAAAACATTGTCTAATTTAATTTGGCTTGTCATCTGGTTTAGATATTTTTACTAGAAAACTACAGATTCGAAAAAATGTAAAAGCAGTAACTTTTGTCCGCCGGGAAAAGCAAAAAATTTTGTTTTGTAGCTGCAGGTCGTTGAGGACGTGTGAAACTCTAGTCTCTATCTGCAGTGTTGTCCATTGGACAGGACGAGTTTGCATTTGTCTCTTTCTCTCCAAATCCTGGATTGACGCATGCCATCTTAATCTCCTTACAGAGAAGCAATCATGACCAGGAGGCAACAGCGAAAAAAAGAGACGTAATGTTCATGAGTGTCTCTCCCATAGGTCTCATAGTGTGTTTTGTTTCAGTACAGAACGGGCCGGATCTGTACCTTTTTTATGCATTGCCTTAACTGGCACAATGTTTTGCTGATATAAAAATACAGGTTGACATTGTCACTGTCCACCACTGAATGTGTCGGTGATATGCAGTGTATTTTTATGGGAAAACACTAAAAGCATCTCTAAAAACTGATCATTGTGATAAACAATCCTTGTTATCAGTGTTCATTGTGTTATGTTATCTGATATTTAAAGTGGAGATGTGCCACTCCTACTATTACAGAATTATAAAATAAGAAGTAGTTCAGTCGACTATATTGCATGTTTATCTATCTGTTTCAAGATGCTAGCCTTATTTACTAACAAATTACAAGTATAAGTTGTAAAAAATCTATACAGTCATTACTTTATAGTGTACAAACAGTAACATTTGGCATAGCCTAGAATACAGAGCAGTTGAATACCTGGGTGACCTGCCAGTGCTCATTTAGCATCAGTCAGGAAATCTTAATCTTAGTCTTAATTAGATTAGGAGCCAGTTTCAAATAAGAGAGGGTGCTGCTCCACCATCCACAATTTGTCCTTTGTTTTGTCCACTCAGAGCTCAGGAAAACATCCCGGCCTCTCAGAAAATCCGTATATATTCTCCGTAACCCATGCATTCACCTGAGACCAAACTGAACATAGCCCCGAATCTACTTAATTAACTAAAATCTCAAATTTTGTATTCAACTTTATAGAAGCATGTTACTGTCTGATGTAATTTTTAGGGAGAAAAACATTTTTACTAAATTTCCGGCTCCTGCTGTACTCTCAGTGTTGAAGAGAAAGGTGCTGACTCACTAAATGGATCTGACCCAAATCTCATGACATGTTCTGTGGTGCGGTAGCAGGAGTCACACAGGTTGCAGTAGGTGGATGTTGGAGTACAGCCCAGAACTCAAACCATTATAGCATTGGACTAAAAAAATCCACTAGCGTGATATTGTGACGTACTTGTGTCTATTAATCACAATCTTTTAACTGTCCTAATAATTATTTAGAAGAGTACACAATACATTGGGTTGTTTTTTTTATGAAAAATCTAATAATTTTAATGATTAATACAGTATGTTGTAGTTGGGAAATGGGAAATCTAGACTTTAAGTCATGCACCTCATGTGAAATTTACTGCATAGCCAGTACATTTCCTTTTCTTGAGGTTTCCATAGCAACGTCTGTTCTCGCCTCGATCCCTTACAGCTTTTAATGCAGACACACATGCACAGTTCTCTATTGTATTGATAACAAATGATAAAATCTTTTTTTCCTCACTTGTATTTCATAATGTCATCAATCTGAATTACCCTTATAGTAATAACATGTTATATTAAACAATGGGCATCTCAGAAAATACAAAGAACAAAGTTTCTAAATCATTATAATAATTAGAATTACCCAGATTGGCCCTGTGAAAAACTAATTATGGAACTTTTTGGAAGATACAGGCCTTCCTATTGTAAACCTGTTGCAACTTTTTATCACACAATTCATACTTTTTTCTGTCAATTCCTAGTTTTCATCTCACATTTTTTTTCTGCCTCAGTATAAATATAAAGACAATTGCAACCTTTAAACTCAGAATTCTGACTTTTCTTTATATAAGATGTAATCTGGATTACGTAATCAGATTCCAAAAATTAAGACCTTGTAATTAATTAGAATAAATTCCATTTTAAAATACTCTGAATCAGACTAAGTTACTTTTTTTATTGATTACATGATTACACATTATTCAATAGCAATAAATTATTCATAATAATTATGAATATAATACTTATTTTACATCTTTTAAATGTTCCTTTCTAAAATAGCCCACTGCTTATATACAGTCAGAAAGTCTTCTAGTTTTGCAGACTTTCACAAAAAGACCAGTCACTAGTCAGGTGGATATAATTTCACAAGAATTTGAGAGGCCACACATCATTTGACCTCTGGATTTACAAAAATAATTTCAATTTTAAGAATTGTTTTCTTAGCATTTCAACATTACATCAACTACTGATGAACATGCAGAGGGTTATTTAATCATGTATCACTTTGTCTTTGGAAGGCTTTTGTCTCTTTAAACACATGAAAATACCCAAATTATTTGCGTGTAATGCAGGGATTTCCAAACTTTTTTGTCAGCCGAACCGCTTTCACCTAATATATTTACTTGAAGTACCCCTGAGATTTTTAAACAAATGTTTTAAAAATTAAGTATCACGTTTGCATGTTCACAGTTCACTGACATTGGTTAATGGTCACATGACAGGTAAACCTATAAAATATTAAAACAATTTTAGTAAGTTTTATTTTGATTGATGTTATTTTAAAACGATTTATTTTAATTTGACATTTTTATGATCTAATTAATCATTTGCTTTTCATTAAACCCATAAATCCCCTTCAGTTCCTTTACGAATCCCAGTGTGGGAAACCTTGACATAATATAATGATTAACTGACTTCATGTCAGTAACAACAAATGGAAAATATTTTCTTATTCTTGGCAGTTTTATATAAGATTATCCTATTTAAATCAATAGGTCAAAAGTAATCTAAAAGTAATTAAGTCTGATTATATTACCTAAATGTAATAGATTACGTTACTAACTACAATTTTTGTAATGTATTTTGAAATCAGTAATGAATTACAAAAAGTAATCTACCAGCTCTTTTTATATGTAGTTGCCTTTGTTGAATTTTTGCATAATCGCACCGTACCTTGAACAATGACTGGACAGGAAACAGTGGGAAGAGATGGTCAGATCATTAACTCAAAAAAAAATCAGCTACTCCCTTTGAGTACTATGGAGAGGCTTCACTCTTCAATACATCTAAGAATGAGAATATAAATGATCTGAATCCCCTCTAAACTCTGTGGTTGGAAGAGCATCTTGGTGAGCATGGCATTTGTTAATAATTCAGGAGCGTTTTGTACTGCTCTCTCCGTGACATTGAATTGCAGGAGAGGCGGGCACTGAGTGAACAGATGTCTATGGCAGACATGAGTAAACAAAAGTGAGCACCTCTACATGACTGTGCCTATGGGAAAAGCCCCCTCCGCTCCCCACCCTCCAATTATCCTGGTCTCCTCTAATTCCTCATTTGAGTCATTCCTTTTCTCAATCTTGTTTCACCACCTTCTCTGCTAATTAGCCTAATTTCTTTCAACTATGTTATGTTTGCTGCATGCCCTTGAGTAAGTTTATCCACTGGGGACTGTTAAGCCTGTTTATTATAAATACTTGTGAGAACAATATATATTAATAATAACATTCAAGTTCACATTGACATTCTTGACAGACTTCATGAAACATTTACACCATTTACAACTTTAATCACAATGTTGCTTTGATGTGATGATTTAATGTGCAAACTAATTTGGTCCTTCTTTCCCTGATGAAGTTCAGGCTGGTTCTTGCTGGTTTGGTGCTGTTTACCAGCCAAAAACTGTTCGCCATCCAAAACACAACATATGCATGAGACCAATAGTGCTGGTCTTGTCAACAAGGTTATCAGCCTTATATTAAGGTCAGAATGAGGTTGTCAGACTGCGTGCCGTGCGCCAGTGTCTCTCGAGGGGCTTGTCACAGTGCCATTCCTGTCAGTGTGTTAGTGTGCATGTGTAGGTATGCCTTTGGGAGAAAGTGTATTTCAGTCATCATGACTTTTGCATGACATTGTAAAATCGTTTTACATTGAAAATTTGGAATCTTAAACTAGAAACTGACTGAATTTTAGAAATGAGAGTTACTAAAATGTGATTTGATGACTAAAATGCATATGTAGTGAGGTTAGTTAGACTGACTGTTGGAAAAAAAGCAATATACAGTTTTCTAGTAAAATATCTATATTTCCATCTAATATTAAGATAAATTTACTTGAGAAGCATAATTGTGTGATATATATTAAGATATGTTTTCAGAGTATATATCTTTAAGTTTTCTTTTCTTCCTCATTTAGCATGTTTTTTTTAATGTGTTAAGAATGAACCTCACCTCATTTGATTAATTATTGGTTAAAACAAGAAAAAACATGTTTATGATGTAAGCAAAATGAATGTTTAATAGAATTATTTTAAGTCGTAATATTTTCTACAACTTTTGTTTGGCCAGGAAAAAATAAAAACAAAAGTTTTTTTTTTTTGTTGTTGTTGTTCTTTGCAATGGTAGGGCTTACATTCTGAAGCTTGTATTTCTCATCCTAAGATTAAGTTACCATGTATGATACAGTGTAATATCTGACATCAAATCCTTCAGCAGGTCATATATAAGATTTAATTTCATAACTGCTTTTCACATCACTGGGTTAAAAATATTATGGACATTGTGTTATGGATTTTTTTTTTTTTTATGCAGTCTTTGTTTTGTGGTAGCACTTTGTCATAGATTAGTGTTGAAAAATGATAGGGAGTGTTATGCTCATATTAATTTACACGGTCAAGTTGACAGAGCGAAATGGTTTTACTTTGAGTTCTTATTGCCTGACATTACTGAGAAATTCTCTGCTTGACTTTGAACACTGCCCTTTGTGAAGAGTTGCTAATAAAATTTGATGAAGGAGCACTGAAGGAGAAAGCTTGGGATCATTTGTGACTTTAATGACACTGTCATTATATAGTGGACTGATCTCTCTTGAAAACGACACATCAATGCATGATTTTATGATATCATAATGATGATATCTTTGTACCTGGTTAGGATTACCTCTGTTTTTATATTTTATTATTTTATATTATTATTATTCATTTTAAAGGAAAAGGCAGCACAGTTTGAGGTTAATCATCTCAACACTGTCACTGTTATATTTGATGATATGCGCACAGTCAAGTGCTTGTTGCCATACTGTGAGTCAGAATGAGTCAAAATGGACAGAAATGTCTTGTGAAAGAATGAATCTGGGTGTTATTTTAATGCTGGTTCTTACTCTTGTTTGAAAAGGGTTCGGCGGACCGTCAGGACTCAGGGGCCACTGAGGAGAAGGAGAAGAATGCCCAAGTCCAGCTGGAGAAGGCCAAGGTAGATTGCAACTCCATAATTCTCTCAGCTGCCCGTTCCTGCTACCAGTGATGTTGGCCACAAGGACCTAAATATATCACAGCTTTAGATATGTAATTTTACACGGCTCTTTTTCCTCTGTCAAAGTAACAAGGTAGTTACTGTCAAAAAGCTAATTACCAAATGCCTTGGTTGAAACAGCACATCAGTGTTAAATCTTGTACTCTACAAAATCAATGCTTTACACGCGACTGACAAACGATAGCTACAATTACCTTTTCTTCTGTTCCTTTACACCGTCCAAAAACAGATAAGAAGCACCGTGGCAAACCATGAATGAGCAACAACAAATGCTCTGTGTTTTATCATCGGCTCTTTACAGAGTCCAGTTTTGCTCGGCTTTAAAAACTGAATGAAACCCCCCTGTCTGTGTCAGCGAGCTCCCTGAGGTCCTTTTTAATTAAGGTACTGAGCAGACAGCATCACGTCCTGCTTCAGTCCACCATCTCCCACAGAGCATCGCCTTTCAAAACCAGGCTACAAGCAGCTAGACTGCCATTGTGTTGACATTTGACTTTCTTTTAATTAAATACTAAATGATTATACAATAAATTAATAGAACAAAGCAGTTACTTATCGTTGTATGATTTATTTATTATTGTGTTATGACAGTATTTTTAAATAATATGGAAACTTGCATGATTGTTTTTTTTAACGATAGAAAAAGTTACAATGTGAATTGCTAATGTTTCCAAACTTTAAGGCTTAGGTACTGACAATAAAAAAAAAATGTATACCAGATTTTCTAACTGACTAACTAAAAAGCATGACTGTGATTTATTTTGTCCTTTTTAACCCGTAAGTGTGTTATTAATTGTCAAATCCATTAGCAGGTCATATAGAAGATTGAGTATCATAACTTATTTTCACATCACTGGGTTAAAACATTATAGACACTATTTTATGGATTTTTATAAATGCAATTTTTGTTTTGTGGTAGGGACTTTGCTATTGATTAGTATTGGAAAAACTAAAACATTACACAGTGTTATGCAAGACCTCCATGGTGCTGACATTTGACTTCTTTTAAATCAAATACCAAAGTATAATACAATAATTAATTAGAAACAAAAGTATTACACTATTGTAAAATATGGAGACTTCTTTTTAGAGAAAAAAGTTATACATTGTAATCAACAGTAAGCTAATGTTTCCAAACTTTTTGTCTTAGTAAGACTCAAGTAATCCTTTAATCACATTTTTTTTATACCAGATGTAAAAACTTAAAGGGGTCATCGGTTGCAAAATTCACTTTACAAGTTGTTTGAACATAAATGTGTGTTGGAAGTGTGTGTAGACATCCACCCTATAATGATAAAAATCCACCCAGTGTTTTTTTTTAAATCCCTATTTTAAAATCCCCTTTCTCAATTCAGGCTGTTCTGAGATTCCTGTCACAATTACGTAGTTCTGCACAGGCCGCTCCCACGATAGTTGATGGACAAGACTGTCTTACCTTAGACCCGCCCTGTGTGAGCTGTGAGCTGTCTGCCATTGTGTTGATTCCGGTGCAGGGGAAGACAAGAATGTCTCCCAAGCGATTGAGGCGTTTTGTTGTTGGATGTAATAATGAATAAAGCAGTCGTCATTTACTCCCGACATCTGAGCCGCTGAAGATGCAGATGATTAACGTTACTTTCATTTTTGAAGGGAATGAGCCGATCCCCGATCTGCCTAAATGCGTCTTGTTCGCGCAAATCATTCGTCATCCAGCTTCATCTACAGAAGAAGTGAGTATAAGGGTTTTTTATGAATCTTTGCAAATCGCCTTTCCAAATAATGTGCTAGTTCGCCAGTTTCGCGGCTGAAGTTTACAGTCTGCTCATCACCCTACGGAAGAGAGGGGCGGGGTCAGCAGAGCTCATTAGCATTTAAAGCGACATGGACTAAAAAACAGCTTGCTGAAAACCGAGCTGATTTTGACAGGGTAAAAAGGGTGTTTTTTACACTACGCATCCGATGACCCCTTTAAGGCAATCAATCAATCAATAAATGAGATTTTGATTACTGTAATCTGTTTACTAGATTCCTTAATATTTTAATTTGAAGTTTGTTTTATAGGTTTAACAAATCGAAGTTCTCAAAATATTTTACACACAACCCTGATTGGCAATCACTATAAACAAACCAACTGTTTATCACAGAATCTCAGTTGCTACTCTAGATTTGTCCTTTTGTCCTGTTACTGTAAATATATGTAAATATGGATGAATCAACTCTGATCACATGTAGCTTACCCTGCTGCACTCCATATAAATTATCCTTTCAAATTTTACAGCACTTGAAGGACAAGTTTTAGGTCTTTGCAGATTAAATTAAAACGATCTTGTGTGCATTCGGTCTCATCCTATGTATATAAATCCGCACTGTCCTCAAGCCTCATGTAGCTACCATTAGACTACATTACCCTTTACTGGGCTGATATTGAGGTCTTTGAGAATGAATTTGTGCATTGCAATTGGTTTGAAGGTAAATGAATGAAAGTTATTATTAGTAACTTGCCTGGGGCAATGCAGCACATGTGCCATTGCTCAAATCAGCAGTGGTTTTGTTCCCGCATTCTTCTCAAAGTATCTGTCTGCTGCCATTCACTCATACACAACCTCGTGGACAAATTTACAAATATTCTCACCATACATGGTAGAACTACACATGAAGATTTTGTTTACAGAACTGAAACACATACTGTAGCAGTTCATGTGCTCACAAAGGATTCTGATGCAAAAGTGTCACATTCAGTGTGTTGTGTTATCAAAATGTAGAGGTTTCAATCTTTCCTTTTTGTTGCGATTGTTCAGTTTAAGCCTGTTGCTTTCGCCGTGCGCACAAACTTCACCTACACTCCTGCAGATGATGACAACGTCCCCATACCAGGGCACGGGGTTTCTTTTGAAGCTAAAGACTTCCTGCATATCAAAGAGGTCAGTGTGTTCCCAGATCACTTGCACAATCATTACACTGAAGTAAATCAAATTAAAGGGATAGTTCACCCAAAAATGAAAATTCTCATGTCGTTCCAAACATCAGAACGGTAGCTCCTTTCTTTGCACACAAAAAGTATTCTCGTAGCTTCATAAAATTAAGATTAAACCACTTATATCAAATAGACTATTTTAACAATGTCCTTACTACCTTTCTGGGCCTTGAACGTTGGCACTTGCAATGCAGGGTCAGAAAGCTCTCGGATTTCATCAAAAATATCTTAATTTGTGTCCCAAAGATGAATGAAGGTCTTACGGGTTTGAAACAGCATGAGGGTGAGTAATTAATGACAGAATTTTCATTTTTGGGTGAACTATCTCTTTAATGTCAATATAGTCAGTGAAGATGGTTTTTAAATATAAAATAGTGTTGTTTTTGTTGTTTACAGAAATTTAACAATGACTGGTGGATTGGACGGCCTGTAAAGGAAGGGGGAGAGGTTGGTTTTATCCCCAGCCCGGTGAACCTGGAGACGATTCTGATCAGAAGAGAGGTGCAGGCCAGGAAGGCCGCCAAAGCGCTGGCCAAGTAAACAAACCTGATTAATAATGCAGTGTGGGGTCTTCATTTTGCAATCTTTGTTTTCTTATTGCATTAATGAATCAACCATTTGAATGTGCATAAATTGCGGCAAAATTCATTATGTACAAACTGCTTTTTTCCCCCTCTTGTTACAGTAAAGCGGCTACTGCTGCCAAAGAGGATATGAATGCAAAGAAAGCTGCTCCACCACAAACAGGTGCACTGACACTTCATGTTTCATTATTTTAATTTTTTATTTTTAATTAGACAAATTACTGAATTTAACCAAATTAGCATGCAAGTTTCCTTTAATAATTTATTATCCTTAATTTGTTATCATCCACTTATCTGGATGAAATGTATGTATGTGGAACATAATGTTATTTTATGTGTCCGTGTGCAATTCAATTGGTCATTTTTGTCAATTTATCCTTTAGTTCAACAAGTGAAGAAGAAATCGGTAAGCAAATATATACAGTAATGCTGTGATTATGACCACACCACGCACATTTATGTTTATATCCATATACTGCCTGTATGTTTAAACATGTCTTCACCCATTTTCTTTGACTGCAGGGAGAGCAACTGGCTGCATATGATGTTGTGCCTTCAATGCGTCCTGTGGTGCTCATGGGCCCTTCGCTCAAGGGCTATGAGGTGAGGGTCTTTTTTTTTTTTGCTGCTGTCTCTGTATGTACAATGTTCAGTCATTCATGGTCCAAACTCTCTGAGGATCTTCAGCATAACTGCTTTGAAGGAGTCAGTGGCTCAGAAGACATATGAAAATATATTACTCCTAAAATAAAACTTTTAAAAAAGTACCATTCTTATTTTAAATGGTCTATAATGTGTTTTATTGCAGAACCTGAGGATTATATTCTTATGTTCTCTTATGCCACATTTACGCTGTACAAATATGTACTGCCCTCTCCTGTACATAACGGAAACTACACGTTTATGAAGTACTATTACTGAGTTGCATATTTTCTCCCTTTTATTTTAATTTACAGGTTACAGACATGATGCAAAAAGCTCTCTTTGATTTTTTAAAACACAGATTTGAAGGAAGGTATGGCACACGGACTGTTGACTCATTACAAAAGAAGAAATGTGTGTAGTCAAACAGAGTGTTGTGACTTTGCTAATATGTAAATCCATTGCTAGAATTACTATCACCCGGGTGACAGCAGATATTGCACTTGCCAAGAGATCGATCCTCAACAACCCCAGCAAGCACGCCATAATGGATCGCTCCAACAACCGCTCCAGTTTAGGTAATCACTTCTTGTCCATTTCTTAATGTTTGTCTTGTCTGTATGCCATTCTGTACAAATTACATAATATATTCTAAATGTATTGGCTTCAGATATTAAATAATAAACTTTGGTTCAGAATCAGAGAGAGTCTAGAAAGAATTTATTGGTCATTGAACCCAAACGTGCATATACTTTACAGATTTTTAATTAACTGCTTAACACTGGGATAATAGAGCTTGATGGTGCACTGCAACAACAACAAAAAACCTAATCAGTACTTTTGTCTTAATTTTCTTTAATGCATTTACTTTAGAAGGAAAACTGCATAAATAAATAAACTTAAGTCAATTTATTTGGTTTGATAGATTTCTTAATTGTTTGAAAACAAGATAAAAAACTGATTAGTAAAACTATTTTTGCAGTGTGTTAAAAAAAAAAGATCCCACTTACAGAGAAACTCCCACTGTAATTCTCACAACACTCAAAGTTGTATTTTTATTTTTCATTTTAATGATTAAATAGCTGTTTAACATTAGTGGGTGTGTTTTCTCACCAAGTGTGGATCTGAGGTGTGTAGCTAGCTTTGTTAAGGGGATCTGATTGGTTTTCTCCACTCTGTCCCTTGCATTGCTCTCTTACCTCAGATGCCGCGGGTATGTATAACAGCAGTAGCCTGTCCATGCTCCCCAACTCATTCCTGTTGGTGTCATCAGAACTGCTTTACCTCTTAGAGAACACTATAAGTGTCAAAGAACCCTGATACTTTTAGTAAAGATCACTGCTTCTAAAAGCTTCGGCTTGTGTTAAGACACCATAACCTCAAAATCTCCATTGACCTTCATAATATGCGTTTAATTTTATTGGTCAAACAAATGCAAGCCAAAGTATTTTAATGTGTATGTAAGTGAGTTTTGTGCTAATCCTAATCTGTAATTTTCTGGGGAAAAAAACATATAAACATTCTTTAAAAAAGATCATTTATGTAAGATAATTAGAATATTTAAGAAAAACTATTTCTCATTGGAGTAAAAGAAACAAAATAATGTTTTGATATTTTTACTTTTTTTTTTACAGTGTGTTGTGAAAGATAATGTTGAACACCAATGTGAGATGATTTTGAACTCGTCCTGTTTTTATCATTAAAGTTTTGCTCACTTTGAGGCAAAGAGCAAGTTTTAAACCTTCATTGTTCTGTTACATCCTGTGGGCAAGGAACTGTTCTGTCAGCATATTTTGATCATCTCTATTTTCATTGACATATTGCATGACCCATGTATGGAATGCATTTAGTTTTGAAGATAGGACTTTTACTTTATATATATATATATATATATATATATACTTCATGAAATAGTGCAAAAAGCTTTTTTTCTTGATCATTTTTGATGTTCTTCTAATCTTATGTATAATAGAGGAATCTGACATAAAATGCTTCCCATTACATTTGAAGTGCTTTTGGCTACACTTCAGCAGATTTGTACTTAGATAGAATAATGTTTTTGAAGATGTCATATAAGGATTTTAGGTTGACTAGTCTCATTTATTTCTTAATCTGCCTCTACAGCCCAAATCCAAGGAGAGGTTGAGAGGATTTTTGAGTTAGCACGCAGTCTACAGCTTGTAGTTCTGGATGCCGACACCATTAACCATCCTCTCCAACTCAGCAAGACCTCCTTGGCCCCGATCTTGGTGTATGTCAAGATTTCATCACCCAAGGTCAGAAACTGTGTTCACAGAACTCGCAAACATTTTTTCAATAGTCATTTGTTTAACAAACTGACAAACTGATTATACATTACCGTTGAAAATTTGTGGATAGTAAGGTTTTTTTATTGTTTTAAAAAAGTCTCACCCAAACACCCAAACATGGCTGTTGAATTTTCAACAGCCATTACTCCATTCTTCAGTGTAACAAGATCCTTTAGAAATCACTGATATGCTGATTTGGTGCTCAAGAAAAATCAAAATGTTGAAAACAGTTATTGTAAACCGTTTTTTGTGGAAACCATGATGCATTTTTATGGATTCTTTGATGAATATAATGTTCAGAAGATGCATTTATATGAAATATAATTTTTTGTAACATTTTAAATGTCTTTACTCTGTGACTTTTGATCAATTAGAATGATTTGGGTGAGTTAAATGTTTGTTTTGTAATTCCAAATTTGTTTATTCCAAAACAGGACTTTTTAAGTGTGGAGGATTATGTTCAACACTTAGGAATTAAATAATGTTCAATACTTAGTCATCCGTTAAATAGCTGTTTAGTCATCAGAAAGAAATTAATTTAGCTTTCATTCATTATGTTAACCAGTTCCAGCTGCTCTATGTCATTTCCCTAGTCTGCAAAATATTAAAAGTATTATTTGCTAGTATGTTCAAGTATTCCATTGACTTTATGGTGTAAGCTAATAGATGGTATAAAAAATTACTTCAGCCACTAGGAGGCAGAAACATGTTTATTCTGTCAGTACAGCAGTATCTGATGTGGTACTATATCAACTTGTTTGATAAACTTGTCACTTTTCTGATAACTGCAAATGTCTTTTAAAGTGCACTATATCATTCAAAATGATAAATATCTGTCATATGAATAAGATCTATCTGTCTGTCACTAGGCTACACAATGCATGGTTTCATTCATTGTCCAAAAGCTTTTTGAATGTGCAGCCATTACATTTACATAGGAAACGCAAGTTTGAGAGAAGATCGGTTGTACAAAAACACTAACCTTTCTCTTGTGACCCAGCGTGACCTAACATCCACTGTTCTTTTACCCCATATGCCTCACACTCATCATTCCTGTCCCTTTTTCCTTCCTCTTTTCATCTGCTGTTCAGGTTCTGACAAGATTGATAAAGACCAGGGGCAAATCTCAGACTAAACATTTGAATGTTCAGATGGTGGCCGCAGACAAACTGGCCCAGTGTCCCAATGTAAGTGTGCCCTCTGTAAATGCTAAAGACATTAAAATGTTTTCCATATGATTGCAGGAGACCCTTCTAAAAAATAGTTTAGAAAGAGAAAAGGAATAGTTCACCCCAAAATTTGCAGAAAATTTACTCGGGCCATTCAAAATTGTTTGTTTGGGTTTAGAGAAGATTTGGACAATCTTAGCATTACATCACTTCCTCACCACTGGATCCCCTGCCATCAGAATGAGAGCCCAAACAGCTAATAAAAACATCACAAGTAATCCACACATCTCCAGTCCGTAAATGAATGTCTTGAG